AAGTCATGGACAGCTTAGCTAGGCCCCCACTTACCTAAAGCCCTAGCCACTGATTTCTACCATTCCATCTTCATATATATCTACGTATATTTATAAAAATAAACGAAAAACAACCTATAAAGATAATGCAGCTGCTTAATTGGATATGATGTGTGTGATTAATTAGTCTGTCATCAAGATCAAGGTCTCTTTCTTAATGAAGTCAAGTTTGTTCGTGTTGTATATGCCTCACACAGTGCCCTTCCATGTTTCCCTCTTCCCATGCTAATAGCCTCACGCTCTCTCCCTCTAACTTTGTGCCCTAATTTGATTGCCTGCTGCCAAATTCTTAACCTACGCGCATGGCTGAGCAATACGCTTAGAAGAAACCTTTAAAATATACCTTAGTTATGGGAATTGTTATTAGCACTCCAAAATATGGCACTCCAAACTTTCTATAATTAGAAAGAAAAAATACACTTGTGAGGAGTGTAGAAGAGATTTTTGGAGTGCTAATAACAATTCCCTTAGTTATTTATACAATTGATTTCAACAACCCTTGAATTACGCCTTAATTTAGGCTATTTTAGGTGGATTATGACCTAAGTGTATATTATATTAGGCTTTAGTTAAACTTAATTATGGTTTAGAGCACTTGCTCATACACCACCATGTCCAAGTATAACGACACCGGCCAATCAATCATAGTATTGCTAGACAATTGGCGAAAGTGATCTACCTAACCCGCATACTGAGCAATTTTCGACGCACATTGAGTAGTGTCACGTGACATTCACTTAAATTATAATACATGTATTTGTTTTTTTATTATTAATATCCTAAAAGTGAAACATAACAACCCTAGCGTCCACTCTTACTATTATAATACGTGAAATAATATACACTGCCCCTAGGTGAAAAATGTGCTATTAATCAAATATTTAAAAGAAAATCCAAAGATTAAAGAGAAAGTTATCTTATAGCCTTTAATCTTTGCTATTGGAAGGCAAGCCCTTGGGTTGTCACTTTCATTTGTATAAATTAAGCTCCTAATGTAAATCGGTCCCCACGCCAACACGCATACACAACATAAAGTGGGATTATTCCCCATACGTAAAAGCAAGAAATCTTCTCAACAGCTAAGTGTGTATCTTTGATAGGTTTAGTTAAATAAGACCAAAAGATTCTAAACTTAATTAACACTGTCATTAACAAAACCCTAATTATATTATGATTTAAACATCAAGAAACTATGCGAAGTGTGTGGATGGTTTGATTGACAAGATCTAGGGTTATGTGTCATTCCTTCGTCCTTTCCTTACACATTTTCTTTCGCTTTTTTTAGGGATTCCAAAGCTGGCTTTCCTCTCTGCAGAACCAGTGAACTACCTCTAGCTTTAGCACATGCTGCTCCACTTTGTATATATGCGTTTTCTGCTGTACGTAGCTTTTATGATGGCCTGGATAATCTGAATTCTGAAAGGGTAAAAACATCGATCCTGTCCAACACGTGTTGCGATGTAGGTACGGACTCGGAGCATCAAACTAAAATTTTGTTAGATTCCTCCTCAGGTGTCCTTCGATCCGAAGACAGTGCTGCGTACATGAAAGGCGCCGTTCTGTTACCTAACAATTAGCTGGCACGTTCGCTGATGTATTTTAATTAGGTAACATGTAGAGTTATATATTATCAATAGTCCATGTGCGTGTGAGTTTTATGATTGTACATAAATTATTGTATAATTTATATTTATCGTGGTCTAAATCGCTTCTGCACGTATAAACAGCTGACTTTCTCAAAAGTTCTAGCATGTATCACATCTTCAAATAAAAATCGTCTTTGATCAGTGATTCACATTAACTTTTATGTCAAATGGGTTTGTGCTTACTGCTTAGCATTAGTGTCATCATGCATGTACATGTCAAAAGAAATATGGTGTCTAGCTATAGCTTAGACTCCAGTGGTAAAAGCTTTTACAGTTTTCTAGATATAAAACATAAAAATTGTGTGGAATGGTCGGAAGATTTCCTCAAATTGAGGGAGAACATTTTCTGTTTTATTGAATTTAGGAAATCAAATCTTGGTTTCCTAAAAATGCTGCATTCTTTTCAAAGATCTGTTTTCTAATGTAACAATAGTTGATGTAACCAATTGAACATTGAAGAGAGGTAAATATAAAACTATATGCAGTTGTACAAGCTAGGTTATGTATACACAATATTGACACTATTTATGTCAAATGCTAGCAGATGCATGCCCGAGAACATCGTCGTCTTGGTATCTAAAATATAATTAGGGCATATATATCCAATCAGGTGCCTAAAAAGGCTATGATGATCATATCCACATGCTTTATTGGCAAACTGTCTAAGACGTGGGCTGCTAAGAGTCAAGTGATTCAACAAAAAATAATAAAAAAAGTATTTCTCTTTTTTTCCAGTGCATTTTCTCACCACTCTTCTGTTTGGTTATTGAATTGAATAAATAAACAAAACTTAAAGTTATAACCAAAATGAGGAGATCAGGAATGTACAAAGAAAGTTCATAGGTTCTTATTTATTAAAGAATTTCAAACTAACCCCTTTTCAACTTGTAGGATGATAATTTTGGTGATACAAAAGTTAGAGGTTTGAGAAAAGGATAATATATAGATGAGAGTGGGTGAAATAGAATCTTGGGGGTGGGAAGATTGTTAATGCAAAGCCCACAGCTACTGTACAAACAGTGGGAAAAATCGGACATCCGCTGCTGATATGTGTTTGATGCTTGTTGCTTCATGTTTAACTATGCAAATTAACATGCTGGCCCGCTAAACTAGAGGTGTTTAGTTTGATGGTATTTTTTATGAATTGTTGAATATGGTGTTGGTTCATGGTTTTGCTATCAAGTATTAACTAGTTTTTTTTTTTTTTTTCTCATTTGAATAACAATTTGCTTGAAGATTTGGCGATTCATTTTCGAAAAAAAAAAAAGAAGATGATTTGGAGATGGGATTTTGCTATCATGTAACTCGCAACATCGCGCAGATACCCTTACTGGTGTTTGCTATATGCAGCCACATATTCGATATGCGCATTGACTCATTGAACACCCAAAGAATTTTGCAAACTTTCTAAGGCGTGGGCTGCTAAGAGTCAAGTATAGCAGTGATTCAACAAATAATTAAAAAAGGATTTCTCTTTTGTCCCTTGCATTCTCTCGCAGCTCTTCTGGCACATTGACTCATTGAACACCCAAAGAATTTTGCAAACTTTCTAAGGCGTGGGTTGCTAAGAGTCAAGTATAGCAGTGATTCAACAAATAATTAAAAAAGGATTTCTCCTTTCTCCCTTGCATTCTCTCGCAGCTCTTCTGTTTAGTTGTTGAATTGAATAAATAAAAAATCTAAAGTTATAACCAAAATTAGGAGATTAGAAATGCACAAAGAAAGTGAATAGTTGCTTATTTCTTAAAGAATTTTAAACTGACCCTTTTCAACTTTTAGAATGATAAATTTTGATGAGAGAAAAGAGTTGGAGGTTTTGAGAAAAAGATAACATATAGATGAGAGGGGTGAAATATAATCTTGTGGGTGGGAAGATTGTTAATGCAAAAGGTATTCAAGGAACGTGAAGAGAGAATATTCAGTAAAGGTGTGGGTGGAAATATAAGATACTAGCCAGTAGAAAACTGGGCTAAGGCCATGGATCAACAGGCCACTTGTTGAACATCAATGACTTTGTCAAACCAAAGACCACAGCTACTGTACAAAGAGTGGGAAAAATAGGACATCCACTGCTGATATGTGTATGATGCAGCATAAGATTATCTCTCTTCCTGTTTTCATCCCCTTTCCTTCTTTTTTCACATATTATTTTTTGTTTTATTGTCTATATAAAAAGATCAATATAAAATGTTGACGTGACTAAACCGTAACCGTTCAAATAAAAAAAAAGAAAAGGAGAGAGTGATCGGAAGGGGAGAGAATCTTCCTCCGTTTGATGTGTGATGCTTCATTTTTAAGCATGCAAACATGCTGGCTCGCTAAAACTAAAGGTGTTCAGTTTGATGGTATTTTTTATGAATGTGCACCCACATATTCAATGTGCACATTGAGCACCCAAATTTCTTTTACAAATTGCCAAATTTTGTTGATGTAATGGTTAGAATAATTTAAAACTTGGTGGGCATGGGCATGTGAACTGATTAAAACTACAGTTCTAAGTTCTAACCATGTTTGCATGTCTGAAGCACATAGTCGAACATATACATAGAGAGAGCATTTAGTAAAGGTACAACATATGACTAATTGTAATTTAAATACATCGATATTTTTACATTAAGAGAGAGAGGGAGTTCGGATAGGCTACACAATGGATGGTCTAATTTGATATCGAATTCGTCATCCACAAAATTCGAACCTAAAACCTCTCACTTCCAAATGAGAAGGAATACCACTACTGTGGACTAATTGTAAATAGAATTGTGAAAGCATCGTTCTCCGATAAAAAATTGGACTAATTAAAGTTACCCTAACACAAATTGTTTCGAACCCTAATTGTTGTTGCTCAAGATATTATTCTCAAGAGTACCACTACAACCTATCCCAATTTGTTTTTTCATTTTTAATAGTAGAGGAGATATCCCACCATACATTGGGTAGCAACTTACTTTTGGTCCTGAGACAAACGGTACGCTAAGAAATAGCCAATAACCTCAAAAAATACATCCGTAAGAGTTCGAATTTGAATTGGAAATTTCAAACCTTTACTCACTTTCCACTTGAAATTCTAATCAAAACTTGTTAACATCAACTTCTATAACACATGTTGATTGAGCAAAAAAAAAAATGATATGACACATAACATAGCAGTTCTTTATTATTTTCAAAGAAAAAAAAAAGTGAAAACCAAAAATCAATTTTAGTAATTTTACTTGGGTTTTCAAAGTTTGGGTGTCTGATTGGGCCTTCTTACAATAAACCGATTTGGGTTTTGTACTGTGGGCTTTTACAAACTTAACATTTTGAAAACCCAAGCCGCCATATGCCGCCTTTCATCGGGCGCTTTCGTAAACTTAAACCAAGAACCCTAACTGTGACTCAGTTCGAAGGCAGAGTACTAGCCGCATCGTGCAGATCTTCTATCTCGCCGCTTTCGACAAGGTAAGATCTATATCCAGTAAAACTGCTTAGTTTTATCATAATTTTGGTGGATTTAGGGACTTACATGTACTTTTTATGATTCGTCGTTGATTTTATGAATATCTGTTCGTTTTCTCCTTACTTGAAGATTTTCGATCTTCGTTGGATTATAAATATACTTGCAAATATTATGTATAATTAGAGTTTGATGTGATTAATTTTATTTAATTTATTTTTCTAAATTTATTTTGTACAATTTGGTAGTAAGGAGTGTAATTCAACCAGGGAAACATTGAAATTATCCAACATGCCAGATTTCAATTTTTGAAAACCTGAATTAGTGGATTTTCAGTTTAGTTACCGTTTTTTCAGTATCGAAGTTGCGTAAAAGAACTTCTCTTGCTTCTAATGGCGATTCGGATATAAGTTTTGTTCTTTCGAGCTTCCTAGTGTTTATAATCTGGAGACCTGACCTGAGCATTCTATCAAGAATTTTTTAATTTTCATCTGTATCACATTATAAATTGTCTTTTGTCGATGTTAGTCTCTTTTTGTTCTTATTCATGAAAATGATTTGATTTTTCTGATCAAATTTGGTTCTCCCTGGTATGGCCATTATAAATGTACTAATATTTGTTTGAACTGAATCATCAAACACGGTCCACCTTATTTTTGCTTTCTGAATGCTGATTTACATTGTTGCAATTTAGTTTTGGATTTGGCATGATACATGCACCGAATTTACGAGATCTTATTTAGTAATTGCTATTGTAGACTTCGAAAATGCTGTTGGCATTTTGATGATTAGTATTAGTAGTGTCTGTCGTTCAGCTTTTACTTGATACCAGGTAACTTGATATATCTTGTTACTTGCCAGGTTCAGCTTTTGGATTAAGAACTTCCCAGAAACCTCTGTTCGAGATGAGGTAATGATTAGTATGATGTGTCAATGGAAATTCTTCGTAGCTTTTCTTTAATGAAGTACTAATAAGTTTTCCTCTTTCTTTGGTTTTGTGTTTATCTCCCTCTTTTCACAGCCGACCAATGGAGGAAGATGTAAGTTATATTGCTTTTGAGCTTATTTAGTGCATCTTTGTTATGTCTCTCTTTGCACCATTAAATGTTATGTGTTTTATTGCATTTGGATATGGAATTTGCAACTTTGTACGTGGTTGGCAATATCTGATGGTTTTGCATCTGTGAGTATGGAATGATTCTCGTGACATCACTTTGACGGTATTTCATGGAAACTGTTCGAGTCCAGAATCCTGTTGCATATCAATTAGTCAATTTTTGGTTCAATGTATTAGCACACAAATAATTATCAAATGAAATTGTCATTTGTAATTGTGTTATGGCTTGAATGTCTGTGCGGGTTTCTTTAGTGACCTCTTTTGCTATGTTCATGGTCTCATGTGTCTTTTCCTGGTCAGCTCTGAAACCACTAATTCCGCATATTTATTCTTATTCGGATCCTCAATTTGTGAAGATGCTTATCTAACCTGAATGCTGTAGGGTGCCAAGAACGAGGAAGAGGAATTCAATACAGGGCCACTTTCTGTCCTTATGATGAGTGTCAAAAATAATACTCAGGTAATGCTTTCTGAGAATCTTATTATTCTTTGTCCGGAAAGGCTTTACATATCAAGGGCAAGTATTCTTATTCAATTGGTTCCTGTTGTGCAAACAGGTGCTCATCAATTGCCGTAACAACCGAAAGCTTCTTGGCCGTGTGAGAGCATTTGACAGGCATTGCAACATGGTTCTGGAAAATGTCAGGGAGATGTGGACTGAGGTATTTTCCTTGTTCGTTCTTTTGCGTTTTGATTTCATTGGGATACAGCCTGTGGCCCTGTGATTGTTGATCATCAACCATCAACCATCAATCATCAATCATCAATCATCAATCATCAATCATTACATATTCGTATTTTTTTTTTTTGGTCGTTTATTTGTCTATGCAGGTGCCAAAGACTGGAAAAGGCAAGAAAAAGGCGCAACCGGTTAACAAGGATAGGTTCATCAGCAAGATGTTTCTCCGTGGGGACTCGGTTATCATTGTTCTTAGGAATCCCAAGTGAGGTGTAAACCCAGCACACAATTCTAATGACTTGTAGATGTAGATTATGTGCTGAAAATTGTAGAAGTACTATCGTCGGGAGTTTGAAATGCACTTCGTAGAGCAACTTTCCAGTGATGTATAACTTCATTTGGATCTGTTTGTGAATTTCAATTGACAGGCACTCTTTAGAGTATCTCTTCCGGTGTCGGATAGTTCTTGATCAAAAGTTAACTTCATTTGACTCTGAATTTCAATTGACAGGTGTTTGGACTTCATGCTAGTAATATCTTGAATTACAGTGTGCAAGCCAAGATCCCTTTGTAGCCTGACGGCTTTTTTCCGACAGGTAAAATTGCCGAGCGGCTCTTTTTATCCTAGTCAGCCAACTCTATTTAATGGGATAAGGTTTAAGTGGTATTGAATTGAATTTATCCGAGTATAATTGTGAACCCGTTGATCGAATAGCTTCAACTCTGTCGATGACCTTGTTTTCTGTCCTCGTCTGCATAAGGTTTCCGGCCTGAAAATTTCTTCGTTGTTTTAAAGGTCCTTATCTTAAATAATTGAAGATTTATTTTTCTTTATTTTGTCCATTCCTTTTTATTTTTATTTATTCATTTATTCATTTATTCTCAACTTGCCTTTTGGCTTCTTCCAACAATAATTTATCTACGTCAATTAAATCACTTGCTAATACACGTCAATATATATCTAATTAAACATATCTAACGATTTATTATAGTGACAGTGGCTCGTAGGTCGTACATTTAGAATGATGACTGGCTAAAGCAAAGCTAATGCTTTTGTGCTTAATTCCAAACTCCCTTGCCTCATTTCCTCACAACTTTTCAAATTAATAATAAAATAAATATCCAGTTCTTTTGGAGTATGATCGTCATAAAACCACATAGTTTATTAATCTACAGTAAAATCTCGACAAAAAAAATGTTGGATGAGATAATAACCTCGGTTTTAATAATAAAATTTTCTAGTCTTAACTTGTAAATAAAACATTTCGAACTATCATATCTTTTGGAATAAATGATAGTATCTACATTAAGAGGAGGTAATGAACTAAGCCTCATAATGGGCTAGCACTAATGTGGTTCAAATTTGCATTTGGCGAAAATTGAACCTAAAACATCTCACTTACAAGTGAATAGAAATATCACTAGACCGTAGTAACAAGTGGCTTGATCCTCTTGTTCTTTTTTTTTTTTGAACAAATGATATTATCTACATTAAGGAGATGGGTGGGCGTAGCCTCACAATGAGTTAGCAATAATGTGGTTCAAACTCACCTTTGGCTATAATCGAACTTAAGACATCTCACTTACAAGTGAACAGAATACTAATAAACTGTATTAATAAATGGTTTATCCTTTTGTTCTTAAATTACCTTAAAAGTTTAAAAACCCTAAAAGATAATGTATCTTTACTTTTCTTTTATTTTTTTTTATAAGACACATGTATCTTTATAATAAAAATAAATAAATAAATCGTACAATACTTATAAATTAATGAATATTCATATATCTATTATATTATTCACTTATTTCTGGCTCTCGGAAAGGATGGATAACCGTGATTTTCCACCAATTGTTCTCCTTTTAAAAAGAAGGATTATATTATTCACTAATCAATCTAATAACTTCTCGATGTAACAACTTTACATGTTTTTATTAAGAAGTTGTTTGATAACCATTTTATTTTCAATTGAAAACTAAAAACCAAAACGTGAAAATGGCTGTTGGATAACCATTTCAGTTTCAGTACTGAAAAACCAAAAAAAGTCATTTTTTAAGAAACTAAAAAATGAAAGTATACCAAATAAGATTTATGTTTTCAAAAAAGTGAATGAAAAGAAAACTGATATATTAAAATGAAATGACTATTTAAAGGCTCGAAAGAAATTAGTTTTTCATTTTTCATTTTTTCAAAACTGAAGACTGAAAGTAATAATCAAACAAGATTTTCATTTTGAGTGAAAACAAAACAATTATTAAACAACTCTTAATTTCATGCGTTTCAAAAATTGGACTTTCAATTTTCATATTTTAAAAACTAAAAATAGTTCAAATGTCCATGTCTTCAATTCTAAATGTATCCATATTATAATACGTAAAATCATGCGTCGTGGTTGACGCAACGAACTCACCAAATAAATTTGGAGGGCAGATTGTCTACCCTCTTGTTTGGGATGCCCTTCTCATCCCCTCCTATTTGTAGGGTCACGATTAAGTTACGTTAATATTTTATATTTTTATTGCTTTTTATCTTATTATCGCTATAAAAAACTAATATAAAATATAAACGTGACTTATTATACAAAATAAAAAGGGATGAAAAGGACATCCAAACAGAAAGAAAAACATCTGCCTCCAATAAATTCTCCAAAGTTCGGTCTAGGAAATTTCATGAAAGATAGACGAGACGCCATTTTGTCCTCAACTCGACACGTGTCTTTTCAGAGCACAATTTATTCAGATGTATACACGTAGATACATATAGTGATTGGAGTGCATCCGAGTACAAGAATCCTGAAGTTGGCCGGCTTTACAGCTTGGAACAAACGAAGCTCTGGACTCTGCGCCCCAACTGAAAGGCTCAAAAAGTCAAATCCGGTGCTAATACCTCTTATCCGCGTTGAGGAATATCGTTATTCTCGATGGGGAAAGGCGGGGGCTGCTTCCCAAGCAAGAAGAAAGTCCCCTCCGGCGCCAGAAATCCCGACGCCGCCAGCCATGCCTCCGCGGCGCCGATTTCCACTGATGGCAATCCGAATTCCGCTCCCAAGCCAAATGACGACGTTATCGTCGCCCAGTCGCAACGGAATCCCGACCGGGTTCCGAAATTGAGGATATTCATAGTGTTCTACTCGATGTACGGGCACGTGGAGGGGCTGGCGCGGCGGATGAAGAAGGGGGTTGACGGCGTGGAGGGGGCGGAGGGGGTTCTGTACCGGGTGCCCGAGACCCTGCCGGCTGAGGTTTTGGAGGCTATGAAGGCGCCGCCGAAGGACCCTGAAATTCCAGAGATTTCTGCGGCGGAGTTGGTGGCTGCGGACGGGGTTTTGTTTGGGTTTCCGACGAGGTTTGGGAGCATGGCGGCGCAGATGAAGGCGTTTTTCGACTCGACGGGGCAGCTGTGGAAGGAGCAGAGCCTGGCTGGGAAGCCTGGTGGGTTTTTTGTCAGTACCGGGACTCAAGGCGGCGGCCAAGAAACCACTCTGTAAGCTTTTGCAGCATTTCTCAATTCTAACTTGGTTCTTTTTAATTCAAGAAGTTATGAATTTGAATTGGGAACTGAATTGTTTGGTTGGTTTTCTTATATGGTTTGCAAAATTGGGTTTTTATGCTTCTTAATTGATAATTTGTGAAGATCAATGGAGATTATTGTTGGCCAAATGAAGGTTCATCGGGTTTTTGCTGCGAAATTGACATGAAATTTTCAAGTATTATGGATGGTAGTTTTTGAGTTTGTGAGATTATTGTTTAATTCGAAATCGGATTAGTAAAGCTTTGGTTTTTAAGGTAGCAATCTTTCCAATATGCATTTGAAGAAATGGCATGTCCTTGTATTTCAGGATTAACGTGCGTAAATTTATCAGGTTGAACTGGCAAATATGTTTTAGAGGAAATTGACACACTCTAGGTTTGCACAAAGATTGTGTATGATTATCTTCGTTTCGGGTATTCTGTCTCAAACAATCTGAAGCAGAAGCACCTTGTAACTTCTTACCCTTGGTATATTAGTATCGCATCCATCATTCGGATAAAGTTACTGCTATGGTTTTGGATGAAAGCCTCGAAAGGTTGATGTAAATTGTTGAGAAAATTTAGAGAGACTTGTGTTCTTTTATTTATTGCAGATGGACGGCAATCACCCAGTTAGCACACCATGGAATGCTGTTTGTTCCTGTTGGGTATACTTTTGGAGCTGGCATGTTTAAGATGGACTCTGTACGAGGGGGTTCTCCATATGGTGCCGGTGTCTTTGCTGGTGACGGCACAAGAGGGCCAAGTGAAACTGAGTTGGCCCTTGCGGAGCATCAGGGGAAGTATATGGCATCAGTAGTCAAGAAGCTTGCATAAACGATTTCCAGACCTAGTATCTTTCTCAGCCGTCATTTTCGTTTCTGTTTGTCCATCTGAATGTATTCCTTCTGCGATTGTTCTTTATTTTCTCTCATTTCTGAGTTCTTTTCTGTTCAGAAAACACTGTAAAGGTTTTAGATTTGTTCTGCCTGATTCTGTCAAATAATTTGTGAATGTGTTGGGTGTGTCATTTTTTATACTTTCATTTCGAAAACATGTAATTCAGTTAGAACTTGATATATCAATAAAGTTCGTTTTCTTTACTATCCGTGATGATGAATCGTTGAATACTGTTCGACTAGAAGTAATATTGCAGTGAAAAAGCAGTCAACTTTTCTTGCGTAACGTCTGCAATCTGCAACCTATAGCAATCATCAATGTGGGATGTTCTTGGTGTTAGAGAAAATCTAACGATGACTGCGTCGGATAAGTGCAAGTCGTTATTCGATTTTCGGACAAAGATGGCATAGACATCTGCAGTTGATGACAGCAGATGCAGATATGATACTCTATCAACTGCCAGCGCATTTCCATGTCCCATGTCTCGGGCAATCGACCAACAAAAGTCTATGTAGGCCACTCCTGATCGAGCAAAGCACACCGTGTCATCTCTTTGATAAAGAGCGAACGTCCTCTCAAGAAAGTATAATATAAAAAATAGTACAATGCGACTTCTATCTTGGTATTCGGTAGGGCACCAAACACAATACAAGCTCGACCTTTGGCACAATACCAAAACCTTAGCAACGATATAATCTAACCTAGTTCAATACACTACTACAATATATGCTATCACCGGCGGAGGACAAACCGACGAGAAATCAAATTTCTGTCAAAAATTTGGCACAAATCCGACATTACATAATGTAATGTCGCTTTTCAATAGCGACACTATTGCTAGGGTCGCAAAAGGGCTTCAGCGTCGCTTTTTGAGCTTAATCCGCCACTACACAGTGTCGCTTTAAAGCGACACTAACCTTAACGTCGGTTTAAAGCGACGCATACTTACACGTGCATCAACTATTTAATAATAAAGTATGCAGTATACTGTCGCTTTAAAGCGACATTATATTAAAATGAAATAAATAAAATATTCCTTAAACCGACGTTAGATAACAATTAAATAAATAAAATATAAAATCTAGTAACGGTCTTAACCGACACAATATTTGTTAATAATAATAAAAGTAGATGGACAACTGCATGCAATTTCAATTAATTCCAACCAAAATAAATTATATAATCAAAATTATAAATTTTAAGATCAAAATAAACATTAATGAAAATAAATAACAAAAACAATAGTGCCAAACTGTACATCTAACATTTCACATAAAATCCAAAAAGTCGTCCGTCGTAACAAACATTAAATCCGACATTACAAACATAACATAAAAAAACAAAAAGATAGACCAATTATACTGTCGTATTTAACCGACAAGAAAAAGAACCAATTAAACTACCCAACCGAATCTGCGCCTGAACGTCGTCCAGATCCTTCTGCTTGAGAATCTTCTCCTTGAGATCCTCCTCCTTGAGATCCTCCTTCTTGAGATCCTCCATCTGATCCAAAAATCCTCGACAAGTCCACATCAAATCCAACACCTGCAAGCATTCCAGAAAACCCCCCAACTGGAACTTCAGGAAAAGATCCACTAGGAGCAGCCATCTCAGGTCGATATACTGGCACTTGATAAGGTGGCTGCTGCATGTATGGCATGGGCGGCTGCTGCATGTATGGCATGGGCTGTGCAGGCATCGGATACACAGGATATAGAGGTTGCTGATTATGGCCAGCATACGGATATGCAGGGGAAGGCTGACTTTGGCCCGACTGTTGAGGAGGTTGACTGTGGCCTGATTGTTGGGTTCCCGGGCTATATAGTGGTTGTGGCTGAAATCTTTGAAAAAACCATGCAAACAACTGATTTTGCTTGTTCTCTAGGTCCGAAATCCGTTTATTATTATTTTCGTCTCTCATTTTCAACTCATTATTTTGAGTCATTAGCAACGCCATTGAACTCTTAGATGATCTCCTAGAGGAAATTGATGTAGAAGATGAAGAAGATGCATAAGACACCATATCAGGAGTCACACCATGACCGTATCCTCTGACTCTATTATACCTCTCAGGACCCATAGTATCAACATAAACTTGGGTCCTAAGATCTTCATTATCGTCTTGGCCCGACTCAATCAATGATTGCAGGTTGCTCTCCATTGTTGACTTGCATTACAATTTTTAAAAACAAAAATTCAATCGTAAAACAGAAAAATAAGCTATAGATAATAAATACTAATAAAATCAAATACTAACACGAAAAAATCAATTACCCCTGTACGCTCCGATGTTTCATCAATCCATGTTTTATCTTTTCGTGTATGACATTCACGAAAAAAGGTTACAGGATCTGCTTCTTTCCCATACTTCTTCCGCTTTATCAAAAATAAAATTTCATACAAACAAATTAAGCAAACCTCATACTAAAAATGAATATAATTATTTAAAATTAATCATCTCTTGAAAATGTACAATCCATACATATTCTTCCCGCACTCTTGCAAAGGATTTTGTACCAGTAGTATGGTTCATTGATTTCAATCCCCGATTAATCTTATTTTTTTCAGCAACCTCCTGAAAAAAAACGAACGAAAAAAGAAAAGATTATATTAGGCAACTTTAAAGTTATAACGAAATAAATCATGTAAGGTTTACCTTTGTTTTGTCTCTATTCCAATATGCCAACAAATCATTCCACTGGGTAGGAATCACATTAGGAGGAGGCTCGCTGCGCACCTGTTCTGCTCTTTTAGTATAATACTTTTTTTTTAACTTATTTCTAAACTCTTTGTGCGCATGCTCCGCAATCTTAAGCGTCATATGACGGATCAAAGACATTTTTACTATATCTGCATCTTCAAAAAAGATACTTCCCTACATACATAAAAACAAAAAACAAAAAAAATCACGCTAGTCAAATATTATTACAATCATTGACCTATTCTTCTATTTTCAACTAAAAATAAAAACATCTATATATACCTTTATTCTATTCCAGAAAGCTTCCTTATCTTCTTCCGTAACCTTACGCCAATCTTTCTCCAACGGCAGATTTCTATAGTCCCTAACCTCCGCTGCTACATGTTTTGAAAAAGCACTAGCATTATCACTAATGCATTTTCCGGACGAATCAAACGAACAAAGCTGTTTCGTCCATTTAGGAATTGAGGGTCCACGCCTCCGTTGAGATGTACCTTGTTAATACAAACACACAATTAAAAACTAGGAAACAAAGCTGTTTCGTTAGGCATTCCCGCTAAACACTTGATCTGATACAATCTTACAACTGCTTCCAATTTCTTAAACTCCTTACAACCTGGGCACAAATCTTGATCTGCCTCTTCAAGCAACTTAAAAAAAGTCTGCACCTCTTCTGGACGTCCTTCCCCAATAGGGGGTTCAGTAGATGGCCCAACACCTTCTTCTGTTAATGGTTGGACAAATACATCATTAAGAAAATCATGCATGCCAATCACCTCATCTCCTGTTTCTTCTTCTCCAATTCCCACATTTTGCTCTCCAATGTTTTGCTCGCCATGATGTCGCCAACAAGCGTTTTTATAATCTTTATCCATATCATACAATATGAGATGTTCAACAATGGTGTTCCTAACAAAAGAATATCGATTACAACATCTTTTGCAAGGACATCTAAACTTATCAGGACCAACACCATTTGCAACTGCTTGATCCAAAAACAAATTAATTTCAGTTGTATACGCTTCAAAATTTCGGGGTATTGTCAACCAACTCTTGTCCATATTTTACCACTTTACGAAGGTAAAATATTACGTTGACACTAAGATGCCTACAATCTTTCAATCCCTATCATGTAGGCATAACTATCAAAATTTTCAATTTCTATCTTTCACCCCTCGAACTCTATCACGATTGCAATCTTTTAATTTTCAACACCTATTATAGTAAAAACAAATTAAAATAACAACAAAAAGTTGTCAAAATTATGCTCATCTAATCCATTCTAATAAATAACAACCAAAAGTTATCAAACTTATCAAAATAACAACAAATTCAAATAACAATTAGAGTGCAAAAAAAATTAATTAATATATTCTTATATTCCTAAATATTATAAGTTTAGGTTATATTCTTATATGAAAGGTTATATTCTTATATGAAAGGATATTCTTATATTATAAGTTTAGGTTATATTCTTATGAAAGGTTATATTCTTATATTCTTATATTCCTAAATATTATAAGTTTAGGTTATATTCTTATTAGAGTGCAAAAAAAAAAAAAAAACATAATATATTATAATATTACTCAATATTATAAGTTTATGTTATATTTAATATTGTTAATTTAACATAAATGCTTATAAATATTATTCATTCCAGCTTCTCATAACAATTCAAATTATGTTCATCTAATCCATTCTAGTAAATAACAACAAAAAATTATCAAAATAACAACAAAATAAAATAACAATTAGAGTGCAAAAAAAAAAAAAAAATTAACATAATATATTCTTATATTACTCAATATTATAAGTTTATGTTATATTTAATATTGTTAATTTAACATAAATGCTTATAAATATTATTCATTCCATCTTCTCATAACAATTCAAATTATGTTCATCTAATCCATTCTAGTAAATAACAACAAAAAATTATCAAAATAACAACAAATTAAAATAACAATTAGAGTGCAAAAAAAAAAAAAAAACATAATATATTCTTATATTACTCAATATTATAAGTTTATGTTATATTTAATATTGTTAATTTAACATAAATGCTTATAAATATTATTCATTCCATTTTCTCATAACAATTCAAATTATGTTCATCTAATCCATTCTAGTAAATAACAACAAAATATTATCAAAATAACAACAAATTAAAATAACACTTAGAGTGCAAAAAAAAAAAACATAATATATTCTTATATTACTCAATATTATAAGTTTATGTTATATTTAATATTGTTAATTTAACATAAATGCTTATAAATATTATTCATTCCATTTTCTCATAACAATTCAAATTATGTTCATCTAATTCATTCTAGTAAATAACAACAAAAAATTATCTAAATAACAACAAATTAAAATAACAATTAGAGTGACAAAATTAATTAATTCGACTAAATTTTTATTAATTTAACAAAAATAGTAGAATTTTATCTAAGTGCTTAAATTATAATTTTTAAATAAATAAACTTGTGTATTATACAATTTAAAAATTAAAGAAGTTAGGGATACAAACCTGATTTGTTGAAGAATTTCGACGTCAACAATTCTTTATGTACTCAACCAACTCCAATAACTTTCCTACAAAAATAAATTGTAACTAAAAATTAAACATAAGAGGAGAAAATAAAAATATTATAAGCAAGAAAAACTTACTGTTGTGAAGAGGAACAAATGAATTTTGAAAACCAAAGGAGAAAGCTGAAAGAGAGAATAGAGGAACAAATGAAGTTTGAAAACCAAAGGAGAAAGCTGAAAGAGGAACACGGGAGACTTTGTAAAAATTGGAAGAACGAATAAGAAAAGTGCAAGAGAAGAAAAAGAAAACACGGGGGAGAGGATATAAAGAGCAACAATGTGTCGCTTACAACCGACACTGGTTTTCAAAATATATGTCGCTCAAAACCGACGCAGGATTTAAAATATTAAAAACAAGAATTAGTGTCGCCTAGAAGCGACACCAATAGTTTATGTCGCTTAAAAGCGACACTATTTTATTTAAAGCGACGCCAGTGCTTAAAAATATTAAAATATATGTCGGTTATAAGCGACACTAAATTTTTACGTCGGTTTAAAAGCGACATAGAAATTTTATGACGCTTATAAGCGACACTAAATACGACGTCATCTTCAGTGAGTGTCGCAAATCTCTTTTTCGCCACTATATAATATTAAACCGACGCAAGAAGTGACACTATTAGGTCCTTTTGTAGTAGTGATAGTGTACTTTAAGATAGTTGATCAAAGTATGTTGATTCTAACTTTATTGATAATCTAGTAGTAATGAAGTTGGCTTAAACAATACAATTTCTTACATGTAAAGTTCGATACTCTTTCTCTGTAATTTCGATTAGATTAAATATTCTCCGATAAAAAAATAGAAATAGTAATTTTGTGGAAATTTCTTGTATCTTTCCAACCAGGATTCCAATTCCTGCGTCAAACTCAAGCGAATAATGTTGTTTTACGCAAGCTTTTTCCACGTAATGACATGTTTAACCCCACCCCTAGCGACAAAACAATGTATAATTATTAATTTTCAACGACCAATGGGGAAGCGACAAGGACATTTCCGGAAACTCAGAACACACACTCCAACGAATTACATCGTTTTAAAGTCGGAAGCTTTTGCTCTACATATATTCACATTCACTCTCGCATTCAATTCACTCTCGCTTTCACTCTCTCCTCGTTTCTTCGACGATTCCAAATTCGTCGCCGAAAAGCAGATATGGCGGACACTCTCAGTGCTCTGAGGTCTCTAATGGCGTCCCACTCTCCACCTCTCGACGCCTTGGTCGTTCCTTCCGAAGATTATCACCAGGTCTGTCTCAATCTGTCAATTTCAATTGTGCCCCTGTCACTCGATATTAACGTTGTTTCCATTAAATCTTGTATCCGCAAATTTTCGATTTTACTCATGTTTTCTGTTCCTGGATCAAGATTGGAACTTTTCGATTGTAATTTGTAAATTCTGTGTTTTTTATTATTATTATTATTATTATTATTTCTTTTTAAGGATGTTGGGAGTGATTTTTGTGTTGGGATTTTATGTTGTAATTGCAGAGTGAGTATGTTTCGGAACGAGACAAACGGCGTGAGTTCGTTTCCGGCTTCACCGGGAGTGCTGGTTAGTATTGTCATGTTGTTTGAGGATGTTGCTGTTTAAATTTTGATTGCTTTCAGTTGAATTTTGAAGCTTTTAATGTTGTCGTGCTGAACTTCTGTGTTGAATTTTGTTCAGGTCTGGCATTAATAACAAAGAACGAAGCACGGCTATGGACGGATGGTCGGTACTTTTTGCAGGCAACGCAACAACTCAGTGACCAGTGGCAGCTTATGCGAATGGGAGAAGACCCGACCGTCGATGTCTGGATGGCAGATGTGAGTCACTGCTTCTTTGAGTAAATCCTATGATTATTTTCAATGTTGTATATTCCGTAGCTTTTAACCTTTTTGCATCGGCATTGACATTAAATTACGAGTTTTAGCAACTTTATGCATTCATATTGGACTCTGTATTAAGTGAACTTTGTGATTTGTTTTCGTTAGAATCTACCTCAAGATTCAGCCATTGGTATTGATCCTTGGTGCGTGTCAATAAACACCGCGCAACTATGGGAGCGTGCCTTTGCGAAGAAACGACAGAAGTTGGTTCAGACTTCCACAAATTTGGTAGACGAAGTTTGGAAAAATCAGCCTCCCACAGAAATTAATCCCGTCATTGTACATCCTTTGGAATATGCTGGTCGTTCTGTTGCGGATAAGTTGAAGTATTTAAGAGAAAAAATCGTACGAGAGAATGCTCGTGGTATAATCATCTCAGCGCTTGATGAGGTTAGTTGGTTCGGTGTGTTGCTTCAAGTGGCCTCGTACTTTTACTCTATTTTGAATTTGTCATTCGGTATCACGATTTAATTGCTATTCTGCAGGTTGCTTGGTTGTATAATATTCGGGGCACTGATGTTGCCTACAATCCAGTTGTTCATGCATTTGCTATCATGACATCCAACTCGGCTTTCCTTTATGTGGACAAAAGGAAGGTTTCCTCTGAGGTTAGTTAAATCATTGTATCATACACAGTTAACATTATTATCATACATAATACACACATCACCATCTTAATCTTAATCTTAATCTTATTAAGCAACCTTCTTAAGACAGTGAGTATTGCTTGAAGTCGTCAAGCCACCAGTAATAATAGATGCATTTACTATTAGCCTTCACCAGTTTGTGTGTCTGATTACTGATAACAGTGATTATACCCTTTGGACTAAATTACGATGTCCTCCATTTCTTTTTTCATATGTCCTTTTTTCCATGTTATAATGCAAGAGTGAGCATGAGCAGATAATCGGTTTAGTAGACACATCTGACAAATTCACTCGATATGCAGGTAAACTCTTACTTGGAAGAAAATGGGATCGAAGTTCGGGACTATAAAGCAGTGAGCTCAGATGTTGCCTTGCTTGCATCTAATCAGCTCAAACCTTCATGTACAGTTAAGGAACCGAAGCTGAAAAGCCTAATGGTGGAAACAAAGCAGAAGAAACAGATAATGACCTCATATGGGCTGACCCTGGTTCATGCTGTTATGCTTTGTATTCAAGACTAAACCCCGAAAAAGTTATCTTGCAGCCGTCGCCTTTGGCCCTAGCAAAAGCTCTAAAGGTAGCATGCTACACTTCCTATCTTATGGAGATAGCATATTGTTTCTGATGGTTGTGCCAGTGATTTTATTCAATTCATTTTTTCTTATCAACTGATTGCTCTAAAATCTTAGAACCCGGTCGAGTTGGAAGGGTTAAGGAAAGCTCATATCCGAGATGGAGTAGCTGTTGTGCAATATCTTGTATGGTTGGATAAGCAGGTAAATTGTGACACCTATGGTATCTTAATATCTTTAAATGTTCTAAACAACATTATTTTCTGATTTCCTATATGTTTTCCATGCGTTTAGTTCCCTAGATTTGCAACAATATGAAAGGCCTGAACTAATGCTTGATCTTGTATGAAAAAAATGCAGGCGCAGGAGATATATGGGGCTTCCGGCTTCTTTTTGGAGGGGGAGGCAACAGATAAGAAAAACCAAACGTAAGTTTGAGTTTCCTTGTTGAATTTCATACCTCTCACCATGTGGATGAGATGCATCATGATCTTGATATAGAAACGTTTTATGTGTAAGTAAGATGTGAAAATCACACAAAGAACTGTTTTTGTCCAATTGCAGTTAGTGATCATCCATTCTTTGAACTTTCGTAAAGTTGATGCCTTATACTGTTCTATGCTTAATTTAATGTTTTGATTGCTGAATATATGCTGAGTGGCACCATTTTTTTTATTCTATTATATGTTCATGTGTTGATTGAATTGAATGACCTATGACAGGAAAACTGCAAAGCTAACCGAGGTGACTGTAAGTGATAAGCTGGAGGGCTTTCGAGCATCAAAAGAGGTAGTGTGAACTTTTAATACGAAAATCCAACATGATAGTAGCGAAATTCCTTTGATGCAAATGTGCTGACCCCTCATATATATTTCTTGATCCTGTGTTCTTTCTATTTGGTATATTTGCAGTCATGGTTCTGACTGTAAAACTTTTTCTCTTCCACACCTCAGAATATTTGCAACAAGCGGTTACAGAAAAATGAAATATGCAGTTCAATTTATTATCAGATGTTTACTTGTATGCTTATCTACCTCCATGCATGTTTAGTTTGCTTTACATGATAGGAATTTCTTTTTCTGTTATATTTGCAGAAATTTAGAGGTTTGAGTTTTCCGACCATTTCGTCTGTTGGCCCAAATGCGGCAATCATTCATTATTCACCGGAAGCAGAAACTTGTGCTGAGTTTGATCCAGACAGCATCTATCTTTTTGACTCTGGGGCACAGGTTTGTCAACTTTCATTGGCTGATAAAAAATTGCCAACCAATTTCATGCATTTATGTTCTAGCATACTCACTTACTCATGATGCTTCTGTTCTTTCAATTGGTAATGTTGATGACATGGTTGCAGTATCTTGATGGAACAACTGACATAACACGGACGGTTCATTTTGGAAAACCTTCAGCTCATGAGAAGGCATGCTATACGGCAGTAAGTTCTTTTTGTTTTGTTATTTGGTTGTTGAACTCATCCTAATTTAAACACTGTTGTTCTAACTCTGTTTTGTTATGCTTTGAATTGCCAAAATCTTGTACCTATTCATCCGTGTATTCTGTTACTCATGATCCATTGTCACCACACCTACAGTTTATAACCACCGTAGCCCTTGTATCCACTCCCACTGACCTTCATCACCGTTCAACGTATACTACTGCTACGAACTTTTTGTAGTTTTTGACTCATTATTTACACCGCCTTCCTCAAGCTTATTACTACTATTGAAAAGATTTCAGTTTACCATGCATAAAATAACCACAAATGAAGCAGTAGTATCTACATTAGCCCTTTACACTAGAAACTCAATTCCAAATCCCCATGTTATATCCATCCATCAAAATGGACCCTTAGATTTAACTGATAATGAACGAGTTAAATGAATTTAGATTCACAATGGGATTTCATTATTTTCATGTTCTTAATTTTTACCCTGCATTACATAATTTAGATCCACAACAGTTGAGTCCCTTATGTCCTACATACGTACACTGTTATCCCAAAATTCCTTCAAGCCAATCCTCATTTTAGGGTTATATGAAGTTGCGTGATGTGCTGCATATTGTGCAGGTCCTCAAGGGTCATATAGGTCTCGGGAATGCTCGATTTCCTAATGGAACCAATGGTATTTCATGCTTGTCTTTTTTTCTTTTTTAATCAGATTTTTAAAGTGTAAGCATGTCTTAGTTGAATACATTTTCATCGTTAACTTTTTACAGGAAATACGCTTGACATTCTTGCTCGAGTTCCTTTGTGGAAGAGTGGTCTTGATTATCGACATGGTACTGGTCATGGGGTTGGGTCGTATCTAAATGTTCATGAAGGTAAATATTAATGGGAACTGCTCATTCTTTACTCTCCAATGTAGTGTTTAATTTGAGCTTATTAATGAATTTTCGATTCTTCCTTCCATTTGCACTGGTTGAGCAGGTCCGCATTTAATTAGTTTCAGACCACATGCTCGAAATGTCCCACTGCAAGTTTCTATGACTGTAACAGATGGTTAGTATCAGTGTATACAATTACTCGTTATTATTTATTTTGTTTTACACTTGTATAAAACCTTTCTCAAACTCAACAAAGAATTCAATCCCGCATACTGGAGGATAGCCACGCATCAGGAATCATGATTGATATTGTATCTTATGTTGACTATCTCTTATCTTATGTTGTTCATGCATTGCTCATGCTGACAACTTATTAGTCATACTTGGTTAGGGCATGCATCTATGAATTGTTTTGAGTGTCGACGAATGGGAGTTGTTAGTAGCTTCTTGAATGGGACTATGTGACTTGTAAGTATCCTTTAGACTGACTGTAGAACTGCACTTTTCAGAACCTGGATACTACGAGGACGGGAAATTTGGTATAAGATTGGAGAATGTGCTTGTAATCAACGAAGCTGATACAAAGTTCAACTTTGGTGACAAGGGTTACTTGCAATTTGAGCATATAACATGGGTAAGTGCCCAATTTGCTACTTTCCTTACTATTAAATAGTTCGATTTCCATGCTATGCGTGACTTTTCGTTTTCTTTTCGATTGGATCAAATGACTTGCACATAAAACATTGGACATGAACTTAATTTGTACACGAGTTAACTTAGTCGCACAGCGGCCTGGCATTTATGTTACTACAACACTTTCTCCCTCAATTTATCGATTATAGAGCAAGATATCGTGTAATTGTCCAGAGACGACAGAGACTTATACTGAGTTGATCAATTTCCAAATCGATATTGTGGAATTTTCCAGAAAGAACACAGTGGTGGAGCTGATCTAAAATTTTCTCGGTTTTATTCTCTTTCCAGGCACCATACCAGAGAAAGTTGATCGACTTGAGTCTTTTAGTACCTGAAGAATTGGAATGGCTCAACACCTACCATTCCAAATGTAGGGACATTCTGGCTCCATACTTGGATGAATCTGAGAAGGCATGGCTGAAAAAAGCCACTGAACCCATAAGCGTGTGAGCTGCATCCCTCCTTCGTTTCTCTCCGAGAGAAAAGCGAGCTTTCTGAATGTGCATATTGACTCAGTAATGAATAAAAATGTATTGTATCTCGAGATCAGTAGTATCTCGTATGCCATCTGTTTTTATGATCGTTTATTTGGAAACTTGCTACCTTTTTTTCGAAGTCTTCGTTGTTTAAACATCGATAATGCATTCCTACTATGCAATGTTACCGAGAAATCGGACCTATGACACCGATGATTCGATTCTCTGGACTGTTAGCCTTTACGATTCGTTATTTGTGCATGCCTCAAGCCCTATCTGCACGCAGTCTCAACCTTCCGGCGTAGGGCGTTGGTCTTTCGTAGCCTTGCCAATTTGGACAGTGAACGAAGACCCTCCTCACTCATAGCCGCTTCCCCAATCCGAGTAATTAAACCAAAGGCGTATTAGTCGAAATGCCCTCTGAAACTATCATTGAGTCTCAGTTTACTCGTTAAAACTAGTTTTGTCTCACTTTGCCTCCTGAAACTGACATTTTCAACTTTTTTGACTCATTTTATCCACTTCTGTTAATGGACTGTTAAATTTAAAGGTATTTTAGACATTTCAGTTTTTGCACATTGTTTACCTCTAGCCCCCACACTAAACAAGTCTCAATTTTATTTTTGACAACTGTAATTCAAACGCATAAATTTTGGGCAGTTTTAAAAATAAATTATTCAATCAATAGAAAAATTCCGAGCAACAAAATTATTGTATCAACCAAAATATGGGTTACATTTGTTCGTAGAGTCATTTCACTTGCAAGACATTCATGTATTGGCTTGAAACTTTGCAATTGAAAAATATTCATTACAACAAAACTAGTGTACCATTAAGCTATCCTATTCCTATCCAAAATACTTCCCAAACCAAAAAAAAATCATTTAAAGCAAATGTGCACAGTTTGAAACAAACAATTTCACATTGTTGAGCACTGATTCCACTAGGCATGAGCTTGTTTAAACTATGCACATTTGCTTTAAATGATTTTTTTTTGGTTTGGGAAGTATTTTGGATAGGATAGCTTAATGGTATGATGATTCTGTAGTAATGAATATTTTTCAATTGCAAAGTTTCGAGCCAATACATGGATGTCTTGCAAGTGAAATGACTTTACGAACAAATGTAACCCCTATTTTGGTTGATACAATGATTTTGTTGCTCAAAATTTTCTGTTGATTGAATAATTTACTTTTTAAAATGCCCAAAATTTATATGTTTGAATCAGAGTTGTCAAAAATAAAATTGAGACTTGTTTAGTGTGGGTAAATAAATGTGTAAAAATTGAAATGTCTAAAATACCCTTAAATTTAACAGTCCACTAACGGAAGTGGGTAAAGTGAGACAAAATAGTTGAAAATATCAGTTTCAGAGGGCAAAGTGCAACAAAACCAATTTCAAGGGGTAAACTAAGATTCAACGGTAGTTTCAGGGAGGCATTTCGACTAATAAACCTTAAACCAAATCATTCTGCATTCTTAGAATTAACAGTGATTACGTGTTCTGATTTTAGGACATGAAAGCACATGATTAACTTGAAATACCATTAATCTTGCGTTGTTATGTTTTTCTCCTGTCATGAACACGTTGTTCCTCCTGCTTGGTAGCTCACCATTAAGGCTTGACTCTCTTCTCACTGCACGTTGAAGCCCATCACTTAGATGATTGGATCTAGATCTTCTCCTTGCTGCCCATATGTTCGCAATAGAATTAAAAAACATTAAGCTTACCAATTTAAAAGCCAACAAGAAAAGTACCTTAAAACGTAAAGGGAGAATTGTCTTGGTGTTAGGGTTTCATTTTTAATTTTGTGTTTGGTTTCAAACTTTTTCTTTGTCCTTGGCATGAATTAATGTAGAATTTCATTTGCAGTAAAAAAAAAAAAAAAGAAAAAAAAAAGCAAAACAAAACAAAAACATCTCGAAACAAACATATTCTTATTTCACTGATTGAAGTTGGCTGTATGAATCTTAGAACGCCATTGCAGTCGATTTTGTGTTAATTCTTCCGTTAGATTCAAGTACTTTATAAACATCTTGAAATATGTTACATTAATTATTATCGTTCATTGAACTTAAACTTACATTCTGTTTTCAAATTCATAATAAAATGAAGATTGATAGAATAGCACTAACCAAAATTTGTCGCTATTCGTTAAAACTGAAAGATTCAGCCAACATTTTTATACTATTTAAGTTATTTGTACACGTACTCCTTTTTTTTTTTTTTTTGGTAAACAATTTGTTTACTCCAAAGTTGGCGTTGCTTGTTGATCCCTCACTTGCTTAGCCAATTCAGAGAGTTTGTTGACATCTTGTGATTGTCTCTATATTTTAAAAGGTGTCCAAGTGCCAACTGATCAATTGCACTTCATGAAACTATGAAAGCAACCGACTTTTGCTTAAGAGCCGTTAATTTTATCATATTTAACTAATATTCACACTATAATCAAAAAAGTAATTGTTATTAACACTTTTAGATAACGAATGACAATAATAGTTTTATAAAACATTGTGTTGCATTGAGTTGTCATAGTTGTCATAGCTTGCACACAACTTATCTTGTTGGCACCAACACAATTATTAACCAGACCTTATGCAAAAACGCATTTTTTGTATATAACGGATTTTTTTTTCTTGTGATTTGGAATTGGTCATTGTTTGCCAAAAGTTTTCCCTCAAGAGTGGTCCTTATTCTTTAACAAGAAATGCCATTTTAATAGTAAGGTTGTTCAATTAAATTTTATACCTTAATTAAACTTCTTATTTATCATAACGCTAAAAGCAACCCTAAATACAACAAGAACACAAGACAAGATGAAATAATGCTTGGAAGCATTATTGAGATAAGTAGTAAAACACGGAGACAAAACTGTCTACTAGTATGTACGTCTAGTTAATGAGTTTTGCAAGTCTTATTGTACTTATTTATCTTAGTGTTTGTTTTGGCATGAGAGTTCAAAGATTTTTCCAATAGTGGGGGTTGCCTCGTTAAATCCTACATATTATGTGCACACTTTATTTAAACTTAAGCCTAGAAAAGAATGGAGCAACGATGAGCGTAGCTGTAGCATTGTGCACATTTTATTTTGGTGTTGCTTTTTGTTTTGACAGAAGAAAACAAATTCACGGTGGTTTTGCCTCAACAAGTCAATCACATAATTTTTTTTATGCTTTAAATTAAGAAGGAATGAATAATGTTTTTTCGAGTGACAATACAGCCCTAAAAAACATTGTGTTGCATTGAGTTGTCATAGTCGTCACAACTTGCACACACCTTATCTTGTTGGCACCAATCCGGCAATCAACTAGACCGTATGTAAAAATGCATTTGTCACATAAAACGGAATTTTTCTTATGGTTTGGGATCGGTCATTGTTTGCCAAGAGAGCATCAAGTTCCCCCTCAAGAGTGGTCCTTATTCTTTAACAAGAAAAGCCATTTAATTAGTAAGGTTGTTCATTAAAATTCTTTATTTATCGTAACGCTAAAAGCAACTCCAAATACAACAAGAACACAAAACAAGATGAATTCACGCTCGGAAGCATTATTGAGATGATTAAGTAACAAGAGAATGCCGCCAAATCAGTTTCGGACATTAACATTGGCAAGCTTCATGTGCATCGACTCGCCATGCTTTGCAAATTGAGAAAGAGCATTACGAGATGAACCCCCTTCTTCCAAAGCCTTTGCGGCACTTTCTTTTAGCTTCTTCATTCTTTCCCTCAAAACAAAGCCTTTTTGGTCCTCCATAATCATCCTCACCATTTCCTCTATCTCTTTTCCATCCACCATTTTCTTCCACGGCGGTATCTTCGACCGCACTGCCACTTTGAACTCTTCTGTCAACAGTGTGGCGTTCGGCCTCTGCTCCGCATGAAGCGGCCAAACAATCATAGGCACTCCATTGGTTAGGCTCTCTAGAGTTGAGCTCCACCCACAATGCGACAAAAATCCTCCGACTGATGGATGGGCCAAAATCTCAACTTGTGGGGCCCACAAAGGAATAACAAGCCCAAGGTCCTTGGTTCGATCAACAAACCCTTCAGGCAAGTACTTCAACAGGTCTTCATTATCACAGTCAGCTGTAAAATAGGCCGCATCCGCAGTTGTTGTGGTGGGAGCGCGTATCACCCAAATGAATCGTTGTTGGCTGAGCTCCAAACCCCAAGCAATCTCAGTCATTTGCTCGTGCGACAAAGCCCCACCACTACCAAACGACACAAAAATTACAGACTCACTAGGTTGCTTGTCTAGCCAATCAAACACCTTTCCCTTTGAACATGACAAATCATTAGGCCTTATTATGGGCCCAATTGGATAAACCGGCACTGTCAAGTGCTGGCCCAACAAGTTCTCATCTCTAAGCGCCGCAAGAGTAGTGGGCTCTAACTCCTCCCAGATGTTTAGCAAGATCCCATCACTACACTTACGGATCCGGCTTGCTATCCCAACAAAATCATGGTATTGCTGGTCGGTCCGGTACAACATAACATCAAAGACATCGAGCTGCGGACGGAACTCCCTACAACCTGGGATCTTCAACGGCTCTTTGTGGTCAACGAAGTTTCCTTCGACTTCCTTGTCGAATGTCAGAGAGCAAATCAAGAACGAGAAAAACCATGCATTGGAAGCAAAGAACAAGTACTTTGGAATCCCTAGCTCCTCGGCAATGGGAAATGATTCGGTGCCGAACAGGTCCACGATAAGCATGGTCGGGGTGAACTTCATGGCACGTACGGCTGACCGGAACACATGTCGTAGCTCTCGCATCATTACGACCAGGTTTGTAGTGACTGAGGTGTCGGGGCCCACGAGGCCAGAAATGTCCGGGCGTGGGAGTTGGACGATGTCCAATATTTTTGTGGACGTGGCTGCCTTGAGTTCCGCCTCGGAAGACGGGGAGATGAAGATTGTGACAGCAAAGTTTAGGTGCGTGACGAGCCGTTTTCCTAGCTCGAGGACGGGAATAAGGTGCCCCATTCCCGGGCCGCAGAGAATGGCTGCATGTTGCTTGGAGCTCATGATCTCCGCTGGACCTAGACTTAGAGAGGAGGTTGAGAGATAGAGACTCAAATTCTCAAAGAAAGAGCAATAAGTGCAACAAGTAAGCCAACTTTGTAAGGAATTAAGTGGTAGAGACAATATTGAACTAGGTGTGACGGCAGACGCACTAATTTAATTCGACGGTGCATGATAATTTGATCTCACACTAAAACCCTCAATTTCTAATTTAATTTTTCCATATTGAATCTTACATATGATACCAAAAACCTTCAAATTAAAGAATATTACTGCCTCTTTCATACAATAGAAAGAGAGAAATCGAACAGTTAAGAAAAAGTGAATACCTTGTAAGGTGCTTGTGCGTGTGCGAGGGGGTGTCTGTTGGCAGAGTGGCTGCGGAGAGGTCGACGAGGAAGAGTAGAAGATGAAGGCCAAAGTCTTCTTTTAACTCTCTGGGCGTAGAAGAGTCTTAAATTTTATTTGGTTAGTCAAAAGTTTGAACTAGTTTCATTTAATATTGTAAGAAAAACTTGTCATCTCCATTCCTGCCTACGTTTTTTGAAGGGCCTGATAAGATAAAATCAAACGAACCATACGTAATACTCTATGCCATATTTTTCAAGTATAATATACGTTTTTTAACTAATACAAACATGTTGTTAGGAGAGAGATTTTTTTTTTCTTTTCATTTAATCGGAAAAATGAATGAGTGTCAACTAAAAATTTAGGAGCCGCTAGGCAATTTGATAACAATTTCGTTTTCAACTTTTGTTTTTCATTTTTTTTTTAAATTGAAATCTTGTTTAGTAACTACTTTCAAATTTTAGTTTCCAAAGAAACAAAAACTGAAAACTGCTTTCTTAGGTTTCAAAATTTGGCCTTGAGATTCAATTTTTTGGTTTTCAGTTTTCATATATTTTAAACTAAAAACTAAAAGTAGCTACCAAACAAGATTTTAGTTTTTAGTTTTCAAAAAAGTAAAAACAAAAAATAAACACGAAATGGTTATCAAACGGCTCACACCCCAACCAGGATACCCACGTGAATACTAAAGTTAAGGTATGATGGCTGACACTACGAAGGGTGGCGAAGCCAAAAGTGAAGGTGATCTGTAAGTACGAACAAATTAAAGTGTAAAATTAAAACAAGAGTGCCTAGTGTGCGGGATGAACCCAATAAGTGATTATTTTTGTCTACATTTGTCTCTCATGCTATCAATCACAAAAATAACTAGCATTTTAAAGACATCCACTCAAATAAGTTGGTCATACATATACATCCATGTAAGTAGGTCTTGGTATCTAACTTGATTTGATTTTTGAACTAACGTTTGAGTGGTTGAAATATTTTTGGAGCAGCCAAATAATCTTTTAGTTGCCTGTTCTATGGAAAGTCAGTCGCAGCTAATTTGATAATGTTGACAATAATAATTTGTTTTGAATTCGTTTTTGGTGATAATCAAATTTAAAATTGCTCACTTTACAAATGAATGAGACTCTCTTAAAGTGAGACTATTCATGAACTCTCTGATATCTCATTTTCTTGCACAATACTTTATAACATTAACACGACAATTATGTCAAAATTATAATGCGACGAAAATTCATGAATAGCCTTCCTTTTAAAAAGTTCTCTTTAGCATTTCTCTTTTTTAAGTTATACATATTATTGCCTTCACCATCAAAGAGAGAAATCATTACTCTGGGACTGCCCTTGAGTTTTCGTGAAAGTGAAAAGGCTGTTGCATTTTTTTAGTTCTTTCAAAAGAATAATGTTAGGAGATCAAATTTTGCAAATCAAATGCCATAGTTGGTGATAATTAGATTATTACTTAACTATTGATTAACATGCTTATTTTCTAGTGGTGACACATCATTTGATTTACAAATTTAGTATCCCTAATGTGGATGCAAATTTTCGCCTTCTCCTTCTTTGACAAAATTGCACCTACAAAACAATCAACACCTTTGGTCAAGGCCAAGAGCCTCACGCGCCCACGATGAATGGGGGGGCTTTGGCAGAAGAACCTCCGATGCCAAAGTTAGAATTTAGAGAGAAAAATGTTTGGAGAGTTTTTGGGAGTTTTGCAAGAGTGTGTAACCTAGCTTTTTAGAGAAAATGGGGTCCAATTTATAGAGCATGGCCGGCCCTTTGGGTGTTTTTTGGGGTGTAATGGGTGAGTTATTTGGCAATTAATGGATTAATTAGGTAATAAATCCATTAATTGGCCAATTAACTCAATTTATACAGAATGTTTTGAAGGTTATGGAGTAAATACCTTGTAGAGAATATAAGATGAGGATGGATTTTGAATTTGTTACCTATTTTGGGCACTTTTGGCTTGATTGAGGGAACCTGGTGTGCCTCGAGGGTAATTTTGTTCTTTTCACCCAAAAATCCACGTGTAGCCTCTTGATTATTTTTGGCTCCACACCTAACATTATCACTTCTAAAATCTTTGAAAACCTTTTGGCGGCGGCATTTATTCATTTTGAATTCATTGGTTTTTTAAATAAGAGAAAAATGTGTTATTGCCTTTTATTTTGGGTAAGAAAGTAAGACCAATTTTTTAAACCAAACTTGCGAATAAATTGATATGTCACCAATAAGAAATAAACACATTAATCGACATTTAATTAATAATCCAATCATCCACAATTATATCATTTGATTTGTAAATTTAAATTTTAAAAATTTGATTTCTCTAACATTACCTTTCGATTTTTTAAAGAAGAGACAAAGAGAGCTGCTGCTTTTTGGCTTGACAGAAGAAAACGAATTTGGTGCTGATGCTGCCGTATCACACTCACACATATTACTCAGTGCAGCATGTATGTTTAAGAGAAAATAATATTTTTCATGTTGTTTTTTACCGGCTTTTAATAAGAAATCAATTATAAAGATGTACTTTTCAATTTTCATTATTGATTGATTTTTAGAAATCATTTCATTCAAACATTCTGCATGATTGTGTAATGTAAAAATATTATTTTCTCTCTAAAATCATTTCATTCAAACATTCTGCATGAAAGTGTATAGAGTTGTGATACGCGTAAAGCTCCATTCAGAAGAGGTTATGTGAAATGCCTGTGGAGCCAAAAATAATCACAAGGCGACAAGTGGATTTTTGGATAGAAGAGGACAAAAATACCCTTGAGGCATACTGGGATTCCTATGCGCGAGCGGCAGACAATCATCCCTCAACCAAGTCAAAAGTGCCTAAAGAAGGTAACAAATTCAAAATTATTTCATCCTTCCTCATTCCATATTCTCTACAAAGCAATCATTCCATAACCTTCAAAACATTCCCAAAAAAATAGGTTAATTGGTTAATTAATGGATTTATTTCCTAGTTAATCCATTAATCACCAATTAAATCACCCACTACACAAATTATCACCCATTACACACCAAAAATACCCCAAAGGGTCGGCGACCTTTCCTCCAAAGGGGACCGGCCATGCTCTATATATTGAACCCCATTTTTATCTAAAAAGCCAAGTCCACGCTCTTGCAAAATTCCAAAAACTCTCTAAACACTTTTCTCTCTAAATTTTAACTTTGGCCGAAGAAGGCCAAAGACCCCCCCAACATTATCGTGGGCATGTGAGGCTCTTGGCCTTGACCCTAAGGTGTTAATTGTTTTGTAGGTGCAATTTTGTCCAAGAAGAAGGAGGCAGAAATTTGCATCCACAAATTGGTGCTTTCATTGAGAGTTGAGTCCTACACTCGTAGAAGACTCTCGCATAAAAGGTTTTTCTCTATTTTTTCTTGTCTATTTGTATATTTTTCGTACGTTCTTATTATTAGAATTTTTTATTTGCTAAGATTCTTTGATAAAACGTAAAACAGAAATACAATGGCTAGAAATTTAGAAAATTTCACAAGTGAAAATTCCAATATTTAAGAAATGGGACTGCAGTAATCCACGAGGTTAAATGTGATCATAAGTGGAGCGGCACCACCGCTACGGGGCTCCACTATGGCAACCATCGTGGTGGCCACCACCCGCAGCGAGGTCCATGGCACCACCACCACGGCCCGAGCTGTGCCATCCAAGGCCCACGTCCCAAGCAATGTCACTCCAAGCCCAACACGAGCCTAACGCGTTACCAAGCCGAGCCCTAGCTTTGCACCCATATGTGCCACATACCGAGCAGGCCATTCTTAAGTCGATAAGCTTCACCTCTGCCAAGCGCGGAACAACCTATACCAAATTCTAAAGTGTTGTGATACTTGCTACGCAACATACGAAATTGGAAAAATTCAAGGTTAATAGCCTAGTGGTTAGGCGGACTTATCTGCTTCTGTAAGTAAGACATCTGACTGCCAACCCTATGGATAACAACTTTGCAAAGTTCTACACCAACACTTACGGCTGCATAGGCTACGCGGGCCTGTCGCTTGCCACTGGTCTGTAAAGTCTAAAGGTTAGGGCATGAACAAAAGAAGTGAAGATGAAGAAAAGTGAAAGAACCATATTTATAAACAACTAGCATAGGCCGAAGGAGTTCAAGCAAAACAAGATCTACAAGGAAAAACAAAGAAAATCCTAAAGGTTACCTAGAATACTACACTTCAGCAGCTTGGACATCTCACGACTACTCGATCATCACACATTCAGCAACCGCGATGCTTTTAGTAGTGGCATCATCCACCGCTTCACCCCGGCTGATCCAGCCTAGGCACCAACATCTCCAGCTACTTCACCAATGAAGGTCTTAAACGTAAAGGCAAGCAAATCTTCTAGAGAAATAGAGAAGATCTCAAAACCTCGAGCCCATCATTCTCACCCTTCAGCTGCTCATTCTCTTTGAGCAGACTAACACAGACACGCTGCAACTCATCCACTTCTTTCTTCAAACTTTCATTGATCTTTAGTACACTTTGGAGTTCCAACACTTGGGGTTCAAGCCTATCAACAACCTTCTTGAAGTGGATTACTTGGTTATATCCAGCAATCAACACTTCATCATTTGCATAAGTAGAGGAATGAAACTCATAAATGACACAATCAAAATCTTGAATATGAGAAGAATAAGCTTCGGCTGCCACAACCTTTGCCTTCTCATTGGTAGCCTTGGTATCCTTTTGATCAAGGAGCATAAACTCAGCTGGCAGAATAGCCGTCTTCTACATCATTGCAAATAGAGCAGTCTTCCTATACTCGACCGTATGCTTTGCAAAGGAACTTGGGCAAACAACATTTCTAACGTCATCAACAAACTTGGCACAAGCTTTTATGTCTTCAAGCAGATCTAGTTTCAAAAGCACATAGATTTCAGCAGCCTCCCCAGAAACAGGCTTAGTGAATTTCTCATAGTTGCCTACTCGAGCAATCTTTTCCTTCCCAGCAGCCGAATCAGTCTCAGCAGCAAAAGGAGTGGGCCTTGGCGTCATTTTAGCAATAGAGTCCACCTTATCACTCCTCATAATAGCAAGCCTCCAAAGATGAACCAGACTTAACTCCCAACAAATATCTTGGTATAGAC